CCCTAAAAATCCGAAGCCCTAAACCCTAAACCCCTAAACCCTCCACCCTAAACCCTAAACCCTAAACCCTAAAACCCTAAACCCTAAACCCTCTGCAGGTTTACATCGAGGAGTTCATCCTTGGCTGCAAGAAGCTCCGTGGCCAGGCGGTTTAGGGTTTAGGGTTTAGGGTTTAGGGTTTAGGGTTCCTTTGAGCTGTTCTTCGGCTTAGATAGCCAATAGCGGGTTGATTGTTTAGGGTTTCAGGGTTTGGGGTTCAGGGTTGAGGGTTTTAGTGTCTAGGGTTTTGTGTTCAGGGTTTTAGGGTTTTAGGGTTTGGGGTTCAGGGTTTAGGGTTTTAGTGTCTATAGGGTGTAGAGTTTTGGTGTCTATAGGGTTTAGGGTCTTAGTGTTTAGGGTTTAGGGTTTTTATAGTTCAGGGTGTAGGGTTTAGGGTTTTAGTGTTTAGTGTTTAGGGTTTTGGGGTTTTAGGGTTTTAGTGTTCAGGGTTTAGGGTGTGCTTGACAGGTCGCGCGCTGACAAGCGCGCTGTACTCTGAAGACATGCCCACCTCAAGACCACACCTACAGAAGTCACAGCGAACCAAAACGGAGCCAGTCAGAATGCAAGCCAACACCAACAAAAAATTGGAGTTCGCAGAAATGTTTTTCAAATGGCACATTACCTGGACCCTGAAAGCATGTAGAATAATAGCCCTTTATAGGTTTTGGGCCATTATTTCACCTACTTTTGGGGCCTAAACCCTAAACCCTAAACCCTAAACCCTAAACCCTAAACCCTAAACCGTTTGGGGGTCTAGGTAAAAGTTTCCCAGGTGTCGCTTCAAGTCGTGACGGATTTGGGGGCCCCAACCCTGCCCAAGCAGCATTTAGGGTTTAGGGTTTAGGGTTTAGGGTTTAGGGTTTAGGGGTTCGTTCTGGGCCGAAGGGCCCTGTCAGTGATACTTCGATCTGTGGAGTGGCTCCTGGTCCAGTTTGAAGCGTGTTCAATCATTGGACTACGTTTAGGAGGCTCCCGAGAATCGCATCAAGTTGTAAAAGGTTGGATGCCCCAAACCCTGGGGGGAGCTTGGGGGTTGAGGATCTGAAAGCCTTTGCTGAGAGTTCCAATGTATCAGGCACCTTCGTAATTGGAACAAGGCTTTTGGCTATCTCATAGTGTATTTGCGATAAGGAACCTTTAAAGGAATACTTTAGGTAATTCAAGCTTCCATCTCACTCAATTTCTAGAACTTTGGATAATTGGTTTGGGTTTCCTTGGCATGGATGTGGGTCTTCATTGGCCTTTAAGGTGCACGGAAGGCTCACAGTTCTGGATCTCGGGCTGGGCTGATGGTGTCACAGACTCTTGAAGGGATTTAGAAAGAAACGGCCAGGAGAAAAAATACAACACTTCATGTCTTTCCGAATCCTGCGACATATGGCATGACTTTGGAGGATCAGAAGGTCTCTGCAACGCTTCAGGCAAATCACACTGATGCCAAGTATGCTCTGGTTGCTGACTGGGAAAGTTTTGACATCGGGAAGCTGGACAAAGAGCGAAATTGTTTCAATCACGGCGTGAGGTCCTGGGAATTGCGAGCAGCTTTTCTCGTGATCGGCCAGTGGTTTGTTCGCCAGACACGGGCGGACATCTCTCTGTCTTTCAGCTTAGCCGACGTGACGTTCAAGCGCATCCTACCAGAACAAGGTCTTTGTCTTCAACGAGACTGTTCCTTCGGGAACGTACTTCGTGTACCTCATTGACAGTATTGTCAACGACTTGAGGCTCGAGGTGTTAGCTCTGGGGCGCATCGTTGGTGGAGACGACTCTTTCTCTGTTTTACAGGTCAGCATCATCCACAAAAGGGACATTGATGATATCTTCAAGCCATGGGGCACGACTCTGCACCGTATCCCAAGACCCAGATCGCCATGATCGAGCAGGGGCTTGTGGTAATATTGTGGGTGTGAGGGGCTCTCTGTTGCAGATCTCTTGTAAGGTCTGGGTCGGGCTTATTCTTCAGGGTCGGTGCGGTCGCGTTTAGAAATTTAAGCTCTTAGCTGGGTATTGGGGCGTGCAGAATGCGTTTGACCCTTTCCGTTGGTCCATTGATTGAAAAACTAGCTCCCTAAACCCCCTAGTCCCATAGACCCCTTTCCAGTTTAAACCCTAAACCCCTTAGT